CGACCCAACATTTTGAATCAACATGGAAACTAAGCGGTCATGTAATCAAGCAGTGATAGGGAAAGAACAGTCCAGTGGGGTCACTTGCATGCTCACTGCTCGTATATATGTATACATATATATATAATTCTTTATATTGGCAAATAATTAGTGGGTCTTCTAATCTTTATCTTCATTTCATTTTGAGTCATCAGTGCGCACTTCTGATCACACACACATATATATATTGGATCAAAATTTTGTTTTCTCCAATTCCTTTTTCAATTTTGTTTTCTTTGGCCTTTCTTTTCTTTGCTTATCATTTTAACCTGTCCCCAGTGGAATTTAATATACATATATACACACAACAACAAACACCATACGATATTTAATTTGCACTAAAGAGAAGAAGGCATAGCAAGCGAGTCATTCTCCTTTTATTTCCGCAAAGGATACGTTTCTTACGAGAGAAAACAGGAATCAAATATTGACTCCATATACGTATATATATCAACACTTATATATATTAAAGAGAGCAAAAGAAGAGTTGGTATGCAGAGTGGTGGGTATAGTTGGGTGGGTTTTTCCTGAAACTTTCGAAACGCACAAACGCCTTACGCTTTAACTCCTGCATGTTGACGTTTAGGGCGGTTGCTTTATTACAAAAAAGTGGTCTTCCTCTTGAAATGAGACCTGCTTTTCTTCTATATATACATACGTAAACCACTCAATCTCTCTATCTCCTGCATTGCATGAGCTTCCTTCCTCTATATCTCTAGTACTTCTATCAGAGAGGCAGAGAACCTCATACCCATATTTTTGTGTGTGTGTGTGTGTGTGTGTGTGTATTGTATGTAGCCATGAAGGGAGGTGAAGAATGGCAAGCAGCAGCGATGATGATAGTAATCAATTGTGCTCTAGGTGTGGCAAACGCGCTTGTTAAGAAGACACTTGATGGAGGACTTGCGCATATGATAGTTGCCACTTATCGCCTCTCAATTTCCACCATTTTTTTAGCACCCATTGCTTACTTTTACGAAAGGTACTATATATACACCTAACTATATATATATATATATGTGTGTAAATATGTTCAATTAGCTGCGTGTACTTGTCTGAGTAAAAATTAATATATTATGTGAATGTAAAATGTTTGGCTCTTCTGGGCTGCCTCAGATGTGCTAAACCAACAGATTTCATGCAATTATACATATATGTGTGTATATATATCTTGCAGGAAAACTAGACCCAAGCTTACGTTAACCATCCTGTGTCAACTTTTCTTCAGTGCTCTACTTGGGTGAGTCACAAAATCACATATTGATCCTACCGCTCTCTTGAACCTCTTTGATTAAACATATTAATTCTCTCTCTATATAAATACATATATGTTTGTTTCTCAGGGCAACCCTTACACAGTATTTCTTTCTCCTTGGACTTAAACATACATCGGCTACGTTGTCCTGTGCATTCATTAGTATGTCGCCGGCGGTCACATTTCTAATGGCTCTGGCTTGCAGGTACAATACAATATACTTACAATACGTAGTCAATATATAAACATGAGACCACTGAATTTTCTTTTTAATATTTACACATGTTCTTTAAAAAATACAGAATAGAGAAAGTAAAAGTGAAAAGCAAGGGAGGAAGTAGCAAGATTTTAGGGACTCTAATTTGCATAAGTGGAGCCCTATTTCTTACATTCTACAAAGGAATGGCACTCACCAGTAACGCTGCTCACTGGCAAGCCAAACACCATGCCACCACCAATTCTCACATCAAGGCACAGAACTGGGTAGTTGGCTGCGCACTCTTGCTGGCTGGCAGCATATTTTGGTCTTCGTGGTTCTTGATCCAAGCCAAGATTAATAAAAGATATCCATGCCAGTATTCCAGCATTAGTATCCTCTCCTTCTTTGGTTCTATCCAATGCGCCCTTTTAAGCTTCATCAATGAAAGACACATGAGCCACTGGATCCTCAAGGGCAAATTCGACATTCTAACCGTTATATATATTGTAAGTACAACTCATCTCTCCCCATCAACATACACATACATACATACATATATATATATATATATATATATATATATAACTCAGTTCATTATACATATGCGTGGGATGAACAGGGTGTGATAGGACAAGGTGCTTGCACAGTGGGGATGTCGTGGTGCATAAAGCAAAAGGGACCTGTTTTCACCTCAACGTTTACGCCTTTAATGCTCATATTTGCTACCATATTCGACTTTCTTGTCTTGCATGAACCAATCTATCTTGGCAGGTCATTAATTTTTTCATTTTGTTTTTCTTTAAAAAAGTATTTATTCAATCAATTCTAATAATAATTATTTAAATAATTGCTTGTGACCAACAGTGTTCTGGGATCGTGCTTTATCATAATTGGTTGTTATATTTTCTTGTGGGGCAAGACAAAAGAGGCTGAACAATGTGCCACGAAGCAAGCTCAATTACCCTGTATTGAAGACTTCGACCAAGACAGCAGTGCAGTTCCCCGAGTTATCCCAGTCACTCCATAGATACATACATATACACATGTATGTCTGTATGTACGTGTACGGTATCAACCCAACTCAAGCTCCACCCATAATAACAGGCTCTTCTACCTTTTAATCTCTAAAGGCTAATATATTTTCGTGGCAGCTACCTATATTATATATATATATTATGTGTATGTACGTTGATATATATCACGTTATTTGTTCCCCACAAAGGGAAGACGTTGTATTATCAATTGTTCTTGTTTATATCATGAATTTTCTTTATTAATGTTATGATCTCTCTTATGATATCCACCTAATACTAAGATACCAGAAGATATATATGATTATCGAATTAAACAACATGAGTTTGGTAATTTATCTTGCTTAAGTCACACACAAAAAAAATGCAAAATGGGAATTACCATATAAGTATGTGTGTGTGTATGTGTGTGTGTGTGTATATATATAAATTAAAATAGATAACTGTAAACATTGTCATTGCTTACGTATTTATTGAGCTGTCTTTGTATTGCACCACCATGTTGCTTTTTGAGCAATTATAAAGATAGATAACAAATTTTCCACATGTGATTTGTGCACTTTAAATTTTTTTACATAGATTTAAATTAACTTGTCAAATTATCTACGTTTTTATAATATATTTTTAAAAAAAGTGAATTCTATATTATGGATAAAATTTAAATTGGTAATCTATATAGACACGAATATTTTAACCACTATATTTCTGTACTAATAATATTTCATTATGAACTTATTATTAGAGAACAATATTCTAATCAAACCCGCAATAATTTAATTACTTCACTTGGAAAAGAGAAGTATTGTTCTCTATATCCTCTTATAATTTGTTTTCCAATTCATCCAAGCTTAACTAATAATAATAACATAAAATATGGCCATGTATTCCCCTTCACCTTAATAAGTAGAAGGAAAATTTCAAAATCTTCTACTTTTGCACTTAGTTTTCAAATATATTATATTAAGGAAAACAAATGTATTACATATAGTTTCAGTCATGAGATGTGATTATCAATCCAATTAACAATATAATTATAATGTATTTCAAAAGAATATACAAATTAAGAAATCTCATAAATATGATTAATCTCTATTAAATAATTATAAAAAAAAAATTAAAATAGCTTTATCATATTTGTAATTGATGTATGTGGTCTTAAACCAGACAATAATTTTTTATAATAATGATTTCAGTACAACAATGAAACCTTATCTTTCAGCTTGTTGTCTTCACATCATGAAGCATTAAGAATCAAGTGCATGCTCTTAATTTCTACATTCACTGAACTTATATACATGGTTAAACTATATGTATACATATGATGCACAAAATTATCTATGGTAGCTGCTGAGTCATTCGCAATATTCCATCCTTCCATTGGTTATAAGAGTGAGCATACACATTACATAATCCTGCAAATTGCATCACATACACCTTTAATCCATTATGATATTTAATATGTTACATGATCATTTCATGAATAAACATGAGAATCTACACGAATACAAAAAAGTACTATTTGTATTTTTGTGTTTGTAGAATTAACATTAAATCATTAAAGTTGGATATTCCAGTATTAGTATCGGAATTTTGTTGCAAAAAATTTTAGGAAAGTAGATACTGAGTTATCTAGTTAAGCTGTGTACAACTATAAAAGAAGATTGTATTTTCTTAATTCTGTGTGTTAAGGAAAAAAAAAAACTAAAATATATTTTGTATGCAGGAGATGTATATATATATGTATATATGATCATTTCTCTGCTTTGCATAAGAAATTTACAACCATATCTAATTAATGAAGTATTACATCACCACCACTACACGTGAGCTTGAACTTCCACATTTTATGCTTCTTTTTTATTCTTTTTTTTTTTTTTTTCAAATTAAGATTATTTGCCGGAAGAAGGTAAAGGAGTTGTTTGACTATGGCCTTTTACCATAGCAAAAGTACTCTGCAACTAAACTATAAATTTTTAAAGTGATTTAGAGTATATGTAAAATTAAAATCTATATTTAATAAAAACACAAACATGTCTTATATGTTACCCAAGAATTATTTCTGATTTTAGAAAGAACATACTTATTGTTTTTCAAAAGTATTGTTGCATAAATTTATTAAACATATATTTGATTTCTAAAATATTAAAGTTTTACTAATATTTAGTAATTTTAATTGTATTTAAATATCTGTAACTATTTTTATTAAATATAATATATTTCTTTTTTAATTTTTGAATGAGATAACATTCTTTGCAGTTATTTTCAACAAATATTTACTTCTTATTAAAATATATTGAAAAAAAAAAAAGAGTTATTTTAATAGTATATTTACCATATATAGCATAAGCACAGTCCATGCCAAACAAATTTTGGTAAGAGGAATAAAAAAGTAGTGATCAAAATACAAGTATGGGAATGAGGTGATCTTTCGGGACAAGTGGTGTCAAAGGGAAGAAGAAAAAGTAGAAATATTTTGAGTCACTTTCTACCTTAAAATTAAAGTGAGGCTTTTTTATATGGGTGAGTGCTCTTCTTATCTTTTTCTTCTTTTTGATCATATTGAAATTTTACTTTGTTTCATTCATGGATTCTGTTCTTCTCTACTTTTTCTTTTCATTTGCTTTACTTTGATTGTTTTTTTTTTTTTTTTTGGGATATGATGGCATATATACTATTTAATTTTCAAAGAGAAGTTAATGGACATTATGTTGATTAAGAAAAGATGGGAA